AGTAGCGTCCTTGCTCCTAGTAGCGATGCCCTTTGCTCCTAGTAGCGTCCTTGCTCCTAGTAGTAAGGCCAGGAGCCCCTAGTAGCGTCCTTGCTCCTAGTAGCGATGCCCTTTTGTCCTAGTAGCGTCCTTGTTCCTAGTAGTAAGGCCAGGAGCCCCTAGTAGCGTCCTTGCTCCTAGTAGCGATGCCCTTTGCTCCTAGTAGCGTCCTTGTTCCTAGTAGATCATGATTTGTGAGTCAACTCATTGGGCCTTGCGGCGTCGAATCTCCACACCGCCACCGGAATTTGCCAGGCCCTGTCACACCGACGAATGTCAAACACTCTTGATATTGTGGCGCAGCGACGAATGAAAGGAATACGGGAATATGCCAAAGAAGGTAAGCTGGGTTAGGCGAACAAAGACCATTCTGCTCTCTCATTATTGTAGTTCCAGAAGGAACCGAATCTCAACTGTCGCTACCGCCATGGCATGTTCTTCAAATTGCACCTCAGCTTCATGCAGGAGGTCATGCTGGCCGGGCTCCAACTTCTTCGGAGGTGCCAAAAGCCACAAAGAATTTCGGAAAGCCGAAGGCACCTGCCGACATCCCACTTCAATGAGGCCATAAGCTGATGAGAAGTGAGAAATTCGATGGATGTCGATTTGCCTCATTCCTCTCGCATCGAGCAAGGACTCACCCAGCCTTCCATGTAGATGGCCACCAGGGCTTTCCCGCCTCGTCCGGCAAGTCTGTTTGACGGTTCCAGTCAGGCCAAGCCAAATCCAGGAACCGCAAAGCCTCACAAAGAGCAGGGTTTCGAACGCATGTCTTGCATTGCAACACAATTTCTATAGAACAAGTAAAAAAAGAAACTGGTAAGTAACCCTATCAAACAAAGGGTGCAAACCTCTCAATGTCTTTCCAGGAGGCCATGACAAAATGCCCAAAGTAGGCCAAGAAGACACAGACCCAAGTGAGGATCACAGTGGTAGGTGAGTACAAGTAGCGGTACTCCATGGTTGTGGCAGCAACTGCAAAGTAGGGTGCAATGTGCCCAAGCCACTCTGCGTTCGGAAGCATGTGGTTTCCTGCGCTAGGAACAGGTTGAGTTCATAATTAATATAGACAAGACACTTCATTCATAGTTTTGAGTAGGACGGCATTGCCCCTATGGTCGATTGGGGAGGGTGAGCAGAACCCCACATAGTTTTAAAGGAATGGTGATCTCCTGATGTGCGCACAATATCAAGGCGCATGATCAAAACCTGAGCACCCATGAAGAGCATAGGAATGGACCAGGAGATCCAGAACCCTCGCAGCTCTGCCATGGTGGTACCAATGCAGTAGTAGCAGACCTCAGGACATTGGGCGTAAAAAAAGCAGGCTCAGGTGTGCATGTGATAATGATCTCTTTACTGAACAAAGGCAGTTTGCTTTTACAAGTCAGACACAACTATACTATGCCTGCAAGAAGCAGCATACAGGAACTGACAAGATCCATAGAGCATGAGCACTCTGGCATAAACATCGTACTGCCACCATTCCTCTTGTGCCTTAGTCAAGAAGGAGCTGCCAGCTTGTAAATCAAAGACTGCGTGGACAGCTAAGAAGTGGACAGCCAACAGCATCTTGAAGTGGTCCGGAGTCTCATGAGGTTCGAAATCATCACGAGTCTGCATCCTGCATCAGCTGGGGAGGAGGCAAAGTTCAGAGGCTAATTGCTTTCTGATTGCAGATAGGGCACCCCATGACTCCCAGCCCCTTGTCAACCACCTCAGGCAGGATATTGAAATCGGTCAAGGTTGAAAAGCCAGCTTTCAGCAAAAGGCACGAGTGAGCTTGGAAACACTTGCCACAGTTGATGCCAAGACCAGCCTGTTCATCACGAATCCAGGAGGGCACGGTGTCGCGAGCAGTGCTGCTGAACTCGGTGCGTGGATCAGGTGCAGCCACCTGCAATGAAAGAAAAAGTCTCCATAGTTCAAAACCTTTCTGGGAATGATAGCCTGTTCCTCGGAACGTTGGGATTACAATATAGAGAATTAGAATTAATAACAAATCCCAGTCCAGCATGATTCGAGACGGTTGCTATCCACTTGGGGACCTCTACACATGCGATTCAACATTGACCAAGAGTGTCCCATGCAACAATTGAAGTCCTAGCTCCGCAGCCTTGGAAGACTTCTTCTTGCTCTTCTTGCTTTCCTTGCCTTCTTTCTTTTTCTCGGCCTTCTCATCTTCCTGCAAGCCGACATGTGAGCTCAAAAGCTTCAGAAGTGTCTTGCTCCAAGAGCAAGAGATTGATGGGTATTCTGTATTCTTATTGCAATAGTGCCACCTCTGTTGATTTATTTAACATGGTTATCAACAACGGTTCATGTATACAGTTGTAGTATAAAGGTTTCTGGACGTCACACTGCCCATTCCCATGTCCATGTTTCCTTGATATATAGAAAGCATACTGTCCATTCCCAATCCCCAATCCATGTTGCGCCTCACCCGACTCGCCAGAAGATGCAGGAGGAAGCTCAGGAGCATCTTCAGGGTGACGCATGAATGGCACCTGAGAATACCCTCTGCACTTGCCAACATCCAAGACTGCACAGCCGCAAGTATGAAAATGACAGCTGCCCTCAACCAAGGCATTTGCACCTAATTTCTTGAACTTGCTACCTCAAGGCTTTGGCATGCCATTTGGGACGTTGGCATACTCTCTTTGGGTTGTGACTCAGCCTAGTTTTGCGTAGCCTAGCCACTCTGAACTGGTCTCCCAGCTTCTGCTGTTCGAAAGCCGAGCCGAAGGATCGGGCAGCGTCGAGCTGAGCCATTGAAGGAATTGGCAACCGAACCTTTCGTGTCAACAATGAAGTGGCAGCGCACCTGAACACCATGATATGCGTGTCAGCCATGAGACAATCCGGACCAATGTGACACTGTATTTGTTCTTTGTACGTGGTTCATTTCGTTTCACTAGGAGTTTCTGGATTCTCTTTTTGCAAGCCAGTCACTGTGCCCGCAAAGAACCATGCATGCCAAGCCAAAGTGCTGTCCCGCAGAGAAGAATGGAAGTATAAATGTGACCTGGTCACGTGCACAGGCCTTTGGAAAAGACGTCCAACCAAATGAGTCTGAAAAGTGTCATAAAAGGTCTTGCCTTGCCTGAATAGAGGGCGCAAAGCCATTGCGGAGGAGCGCAGCCGTGCATGCCAATGCGTCCAGCATCTGAGAGAGCTGCACACACACAAAGAACCAAGGTCATCATGGCTTGTACGGTGTCCATCTTGGAGGAAGTGAGCTCAGCAATGCCATGAACATCTTGGCGATACTGGCCAACCTGGGTGTTCAGCATGCCCCTGGAGGTCATGTAACGTCCGAAGCGTTGAGGCACATCGTACTGAAAGTTGGCCCGGTTGTAATCGAAGAGCCATTTCCCAGTGAAGGCGGTCCCGGCGGCTGCAGCCGCTGCTGGCACCGAATGCATGGCGACAGGGCGACGCTGTGGAGCACAGGGAGCCCAGCGTCTGGGAGAAACACGAGGTGCAAACGAGGTGCGAGCCCGGGCGCGAGGCCCGTCTGAGCCTTTTTGTCCACACGATAGCCAAAGTCTCTCACAGGATGTCCAGGTTCAAAGGTCCAAATGACATGACTAGCTTCAAACACCAACCCTGCAGATAAGTTTGGTGCAAATGCGATTGCCAATTTGCAAAATTGAAGCAAAATAGAACAAAGAAATGCTTTCATGGCCTGCGGTAGTATCGCTTTTGGAGACATGCTTTGCGAAGACATGGGCGCCGCCTTCGGCCGCTCAAGCCAGTACACATTCAGTTGAGCAACAACAAGCTGAGTGTTGCACCATGAAAGGAAGAATGCCGGCACGGTCGGCACCTTGCACTGCAACCCCTGATACGGTTTGCTTGTTTTTACAAAAAGGAATGCTTCCAACGATACCTTACAATGCAAATTCACGATACCTTGTATGCTCAAACTTTGCAAATTCACTTCACACTCTTCTAAAAGTGCATGGCCTGGGATCCCTCAAGGTCCCGCGTTTTCTCGATATGAACATACGAACCACGCCGCGCCCAAAGTGGGACTACGTTGAACCGAAAAGAGGGGTTGCAGGAACTTTGAACCAACAGAAAACAAATGTAAGGGTCGCTAATAGACAGAAACATACAGTTTGTAGTGTATGAACAATCAAAGTATGTATGTGTTGAAGGTTGGCACTGTGAACAGATTAGATGCATTCACGACATGCGCGCGATGTCACAGTGACAAGTAGACCGACTTACAAGTACTCAAAAATACCAAAATGAAAAGTAGCAGTGCACACGGTTGGTGAATTGGTCCGGAAAAACGAACAATTGTGATTTTGGTCTACTTTTGCATTTTGCCTTTCAATGGAGTCACGTCGATCTCAGTCATGAATGGTGGGTCCGCGATATAGTTTGATAATCAATACTAAAGAACTGAAACCACTGCCAAACAAATCAAGTCAAACGTGCATGAACTGCTTGACGTGCTTTACTCCATACATACTGGAGCATGAGAAGGATTGTCCTTTGAAAAATGTAGATGACCAAAACCTCGCAGCTCTTTTCTGCCTTCGAGCCACTGGATTGGAAAACATGTTTGATTGCACCTTTTGGTTTTGTTTCCTTCCCTGGGGGTGCAGAGCACAGCAGAGACTGCACCCAACGAAACTGTCCACTTGTACTGGAAACAAAGCTTGAGCAGCTCTGTGTACCTGCGATGCTTTGGTTTTCCCTTTGTCCTGGGCCGCCGTTTGCGCTTAGAACAAGAATCTGGCCTTTGCAACGGCTTACCATCGGCAGACTTGCGGTTGAAACTTGTTGCGTTTGGAGGACTTTGAGGTCTTTGAGCCTTCCTTGTCTTTTGATGTTGGGAGATGCATCTCTCCACTTAACACCTTCTACTTTCAGGTGTTATACTCTCTGCACTCTTTGGTTTTTCACTTAGGCTGGTGGGCGGCAAACCCTAATCAGTTCAGCACGCATTTCAGCCCAGGGTGTACCCGACGAGTGTCTTGTTTCTCAGCCGGAGAGCACAGCAGTCCGCAGCAGACGCAAGAAACTGATGGCAAACGTTGGCTAAAGCCAGAAGACTTGGACAGATTATTGAGCGGGCTGAACGCCAGTGTGCCTACAGCAGGCGTAGTAGCCATCGCAGCGGTCGTAGTTCTTCAAGGTCCATTTGGATCTGCCGGAGCCTTCGCGATGATTCCTCCACCTCCTCCTCCCGTCCCTCCTGTCCCGATGTCGCCCTCCAGACCTTACTCCAGTGGAGGTCTGGCATCGCTCAAGCCAGACTGCATCGTGAATCTTTTTCATGTACACAATGGTCTGCTGGAGATGCCTTTGGCCCTCCCAGGATTCTGGAACAACGGCGCAAAACGGTTGGGTTCTAAGGATACTTACAATGTTCATCCAACAAGTAAACAGCTCCTTTCCCTCTTTCACACTCAGCACACTTTTCACTGCCTGAAGGTAGCGAGCGTTGTTGGGACAATCCACCATCCCGTGGTCATTTTTGACCGAGCGTTGTGGTTCTAGAGATACCTACAATGTTCAACTAGATATAACAAGCTTCTCTCTCTCACCACAACGCATCAGCACTCACTTTTCACTGCCAAATTCTGTTGAGGGTTGTTGGGATATCAGACCGATATCCTTCGCTATTGGTCGTGTTGACCATTTCGCTATTTGGTCATTTTGACCATCTCGTCGCTTGGTCGTTTGACCATCTCGCCGGTGTCGTCATCCTTAGGATGCACTGTCTGCTTGGTGTGCGTGGTCTTCCTTGACCCATTGGTGTATTCGAAAGAGAGAAGCTAGAAAAGGGTTGAGGTGGGAGGGGTTGAACATTGCGATCTCTAGAACCAAAATGGCACCAGGAACATGAAGGATCTCAAAACATTACGTGAAGGATCACTAACAACGTTCTAGAGATACCTACAATGTTCAACTAGATATAACAAGCTTCTCTCTCTCACCACAACGCATCAGCACTCACTTTTCACTGCCAAATTCTGTTGAGGGTTGTTGGGATATCAGACCGAACCGCATTTTCCAACAACACTCGGAAAAAACAAAACCCCAAACGCGCTGAGTGGATGTTGGCAGTGAAAAATGACTCATGGCGGGTCTATCGCCACTGGAGCCGGAAGTCGGCTGGATGAATCGCTATCTTGCGGTGAGACCGAAAGAAGGCATCAAGGCTCATATGATGCCTATGCGCGGCGTCAAATTTCTCAGGGAGATCTGAAACAAAGTCCCATCTACTTAGCAGATCGGCATCAGTGTTCAAAGGACCTGGAATATGGGAGATATCACAACTGATTCGTTCGGACATGAGGATAAGTGCTAATTCCTCAACGAAAAAGCACAGGGGAGCAGTGGTCGTAAATAACTTGTTGCCGGCTGCTTCCGCAGCAACGTTGTCGCTCAAGCTTTGAAAATGCAAAGGTACACAGATTTTGGGGCAAATAGCCAAACAAAGCAAGACCAGAAAACCTTGAGCTAAAGTTTCATAACATGCAATGTCCTTTTGGGCATCTGGCCGAACTGGAATGTCCAAGTGTTTGATGTCGGAGACATGCCACTTTTCTGCAAACCAATAGATGGTCGAATCAGGTGCAAGCAAACCACCGATCTGAAATGTTTCCCCTTGGGCCGAGGCATCTGCTGATGCTCTAACGGAAACCTGAGCAGGCGGGCGCATGGTGCGAAGCGGAGGAGAGGTGGTAAGCCAATGCAACCAAAGCTTGAGGACTCGTCGGCTGTGCATTGACAGTTTACGTTGCTGGGATTTTGGGTTGATGATTCGAAGCCACAATCTACGATCTGTCAACCTAACCGATTCCACCCCATGCAGTGTTTGGACAGGACTATGTCTAACAGAAACTAGCTTTGACCCAGCCGGGATTGCTGTGCCGGTGGGTGTACAAAGAAATGTGAGGTCGTCTGAAAGGCAAGATTTGACCACGGTCCAAAAACCGGGGTTGACACTGTAGTGTGTAGCAGGGCAACAATACAAATCAGAAAATAACCAATGGAGCAGCGCACGGAATGGCAAGAAGAGATGAGTGACCCAAAGTGCCAAGCCGGTGAATTTTTCAAGCTGTTTGCAAGTGCAGTGACGATGGGCAAGCAAGTCGTTGATCAGTGAAATCAGCTTATCTTGCTTGTCAGGATGCAAACTAACCAACCCGTTGAAGAAATTGAAGCGCCAGCCAATCCAATCGACCATTGGACCTAATGTACACTTCCGCCAACTGAGGGGGATTCGAAATACCTGACAAAAGATCGCCAGGAGTGTGGCGAAGAGGGGTAAGACTTGCTTGGTTTGAGTCAACAAGAAGTCATCCACAAATAGCCAAAGGCCATGTTGGATCCAAATGAGGCGATGAAAGGTGCGTACTAGCCAAGATCCTAAACGGCCCCACCAAAAGGCACTAAATGTGGCTCCGAAAGGGCAAACCTTATAGAAGAAGATTTTTCCACGAAACGTGAACCCTACAAGGCCTTGATGGCGTTTTGCAAGAACGATACGTTTATGTGCTGACTTCACATCAAACGTCGCTGCACGCTGGGGCTCCGAACAGTTTCGAAGCGGGAATGACTCAACAACATCCCGGGCAGAGGGATAGCACTGGCGCTCGGGGATCCAACAGTTTTGATTAGTGTTACAAACACTACTATCCAATACCAGTCGTGGAGGGCGCGAATCTGAGAATGCTATGCCTAATTTGCCTAGGCCAACTCCTTGGGGATATTGCTTTTGCGCATCAGCTTCATCTCCAGAAAACTCAAAAATCCAACCTTGATCGATTTCGTTTTGAATGAGTTCTTCGGTCAAATCGGGATGGTCCTCACTAGACTTCCAATTACCCCGATGAATCTGAAGGGCCGGAACATCACTGTCCGCAATGGCATCCTTCTCCCAAAACACTCGACTCGGAAGAATGGGGTCATCAGAGGTTCCGGCTGAGACTCCTGCAATCAAGCAGGAAAAGACCTCGCTATCGGGATCACGAATCCTGTGGCTGAGGGCTTGTAACGCTGCAAGGTGAATGGGTTGGTCGGCCCGGATAGACCAATCCACCGGAAGCCAAGCGGAAAAGGACTGACGAAATTGGTCAATGCACTCTTCGGAAAAAGGCGGTGCGGATTGTGCTTGCTCAATATGAGCCAGAAAAACTTTATGGAGGCCCTGCTCCAGGATTGCGGTGATCCATCTATCCCGCAATGGCTTCAACACATCGTCAGTGTTGGGTGGAACGCTCCAATCTGGTTGACTGCCTTTGCCCCCTCCATCATGGAGGGAATGTGGGCTGGTGTGCAAAGGTTTGACCGGGATCATGGAAAGGGCCAAATCTAAGGTCAACTTGGGAATCATAGGGCCAATGCGAGAGCTCAAACGGGAAGCAATTTGGTTAGCAAGGTCCATAGGATATTCGGC